GAGCTGGAGAAATCAAGGCTGCAATGAACTGTGATTGTGCCACTGCATGCCAGCCTGGGTGACAGAGCAAGACCCTATCCCCAAAAATAAATAAATAAATAAAATTAAAAATAAACCCTCACAATTTGTTCTATTTAAACAATTTTAATCAGATATAATCCTATCAAGAAAGCTAAAAAAATAACTAGGCATCCCAGCAAGCTTATATAATAGCATTTTTTTAAAAGATACTTAATTTACTCTGTATTACTTGATAATTGTGTCCAGTAACTATTCAATAATTTATTCATTCATCAAACATTTATTGATGGCTTATGGAACTACCTCTTTAGGTTACTTACTTCAAAAACTCATAGTGTAATGGAGGAGACGGATGAGTGAAAAAATTCAACCAAAATATTTAGTCTTCATCTTTAAGGAAAAGAGTAAAATAGGGGCCAGAACAGGGAAAATGTTCAAAGTTAAGTGAGGGGCCAAGCATGGTGGCTCACACCTGTAATCCTAGCACTTTGGGAGGCTGAGGCAAGCTGATCACTTGAGGTCAGGAGTTTAAGACCAGACTGGCCAACATGGCAAAACCCCATCTCTACTAACAATGCAAAAATTAGTGAGGTGTGGTGGTGCATGCCTGTAATCCCAGCTACTCGGGAGGCTGAGGCATGAGAATCGCTTGAGCCTAGGAGGCAGAGGCTGCAGCTAGCCGAGATCCCACCACTGCACTTCAGCCTGGGCAACAGAGCGAGACTCTATCTCAAAAAATAAAAAACACAAAGTTAAGCAAGGACTTTTACTTTGCAATCGCGACACTTGTATATTGTTTGAATTCTCTCCTAGCATATATGAGTTGATAATTTTGAAATATGGTAAAATGTAAATATTAATGAGGTTGATATCTTAGAAATTATTAATATGATTTTTCTCTTTTGCTTTTGCTGGAACATATTTTTCTTAGTGGGCCCAAGACACTAACCAGCCTCAGAAGGAGATTAACTAATTTGTTATGCAATAATAACATTTGTCACTTACTGTGTCCCTGTCACTCTTTTAAGCAATTTACATGCAATGCAAAGAGACAGAATTAATTTCAATTTCTGACCTTCAAAATAAAATTGTGCAACCAAACAGTAGCCTTAAAAACCAGGCTACTATAATTTTTTTTCTTTTTTTTTCTTTTTTTTAGACAGCATCTCACTCTGTCACCCAGGCTGGAGTGAAATGACAGAATAATGGCTCACTGAAGCTTCAACCTCCTGGGCTCAATGGATCCTCAGCCTCCTGACTAGTGGGAACTACAGGTATGTGCCACCATGCCCAGCTAATTTTTTTTTTTTTTTTTTTTGAGGAGGGGTAGATATGAGGTCTCACTAAGTTGCCTAGGTTTGTCTTGAACTTCTGGGCTCAAGTGATCCTTCCACCTTGACCTTCCAAAGTGCTGGAATTACAGGGGTGAGCCACCGCACCTGGCCTCAAGCTATTGTATTAGGAGAGGACTTTTCAAATTTTTTTTTAACCTTCATCCCCTATCTATTAGAAACCAAGTGTATTGATCAAGGTTCTCCAGAGGAATGGAACCAATAGGATACACAAACACACACACACACACACACACACACACCCCTCTCATATGTATACTAACATTCATATATTTCCCACATATATTGTACACACTATAGATACATATAAGAATTGGCTCATGTAATTATGGAGACCCAGAAGTCCCACCATCTGCCATCTGCAAGCTAGAAAACCAGGAAAGCTGGTGGTGTGATTCAGTCTGAGTCTGAAGGCCCCAGAACTGGGCACTTCAATGTGAAGGGCAGAAGAAGATGAATGTCCCAGCTCAAGGAGAGAGAGGATCTGCCCTTCCTCAACCTTTTCATTCTATTCAGGCCCTCAATGGATTGGGTGATGACACCCATATTAGTGAGGGCAGATCTTGTCTACCTATTCAAATGCTACTCTCTTCCAGAAACACCCTCACAGATACACCCGGAAATAATGTTTCACCAGCTATCCGGGCATTCTCAGCCCAGTCAAGTCAACACATAAAATTAACCATTGCACTGAGCCTGGAGACTTAGCCCAGAGCATTCTCTCATACTGCAGAGAAGACACCCTCCTGTTACAGGGAGAGCAGCAGGGCCATGGGTTTAACTCCTCTAAGTAGAAGGGTGACGGGTTACAGAGGAAGAGAAGGAAGGAAGTCTTTCCTCTTCTGTCCCAGAATTGGGGGAAGGAAAAGGAGAGACAGACAGAGCCAGGGACAGAGACAAAGAAGCAACGCAGTCAGATGTGTGTGCTGACTGTGCAAGAGGTGATTGGGGGAAACACCAAGGACAAAAGGGCATCGTTCTCCCCAGCTCCCCATCTGAGACACTGAGAAGAGACTTTACTGCAGGCTACCTCATCTCAACTCTAGTGGGGCCAGCATGGCCAAGCAGGGGGAGGTTATGAGGTTTAACTTTAGAGTCTTCTAAAGTTTCCACAGGGGGCCCTGTGACCCAGAAGTCTATGAGAATCTGGCTGGGATCCATAGTGCAGGTGAGGCGGGTGAAGGACTACCAGGTGGGCCAGGACTAAACGGGAGTCACAGTCAGAAGTCAGAGGTGTCCTGCAGGGAGGCCCCAGGGGAAGCCGAGGGAGTCAGAGAGGATCATCAGAGAGAGTTGATAAGGAATCTCTCCAGCCCCAGACATCAGCTGCATTGCCAGCCATGCTGAGAGCTACCAGGGGGATAACAGTCGACAAGGTGGAGGACACTGTTCCCAAGACCTCCGGGTCAGGCAACCCCATTCCTCCCCACATACAAAATACCTAGTCATCATCTTGGGACTGAAAAGGTGAGAAATCTGACAGCTGAACTTTTCTTTTCCTACACAGACTAACTTCACTTAAGGGATTTCTAAGTGAGTAGATCAGATTAAGTTTAAACAAGTAAGGATTTAAAAGTTAATTGTTTTTACTCCTCACCAGCAGGTGGGATTCAAGGAAGAAGGCTGGACTCATTAACAAAGGGACTATACAATGTCTCCATACTCCTGAGATGCGATGTGAGTTGAATTCACAATCCTGCTAAATAAATTTAAAAATCAATGACAATACAGATTGTTAAATGCTATGAAAAGAAGCATAGGGTGCTATGGGACCTCTAGGCTGCAAAAGTAATTGCTGTATTGGATCGGACCCATGGAGCACCCAGCCTGGGATCTGGTCTTCCAGTGAAACCTCTGCACATTCGCCGAGGGTTGGAGCAAGGGAGCATGGTTGATCCCATTTTGTCAAGTAGAAAATTAAAAGCATTCCTTGAAGTATGACCAGATTCTCTGAAAATCCCATTCTCTATTTGGCATCCATTGATTAATCCAACTCTTCTTGAATATTTTAATACATCTGTACTACCTCTTGGATGCTTCAGGCATCTGTAGAGAATATTTCTGAAAGTTCTGTTTGTTAGCATCCAATTTTGGAGTATTAGAAAGAGAGGTGAAACAGGCCCTGTCTGTGTATCAGAATATTCCTCTTCCGATGCATTTTTCCCTTAAGAAGAAAAATAAATATACTCTATTTATGTGCAAGGTTTAGATAGCATGTTACTGGAAAGGGGTCCCAATCCAGACCCAAGAAAGGGTTCTTGGATCTCATGCAAGAAAGAATTTGAGGCAAATCCATAGAGAAAAGCAAAAGCAAGTTTATTAAGAAAGTAAAGGAATAAAGAATGGCTACTCCATAGGCAGAGCAGCACCATGGACTGCTCAGCTGCTTGTACTTATTGTTAGTTCCTTCTTGATCATATGGTAAACAAGGGGTGGATTATTCATCAGTTTTCCAGGAAAAGGGTAGGCAATTCCTGGAACCAAGGGTTCCTCCCCTTTTCAGACCATATGGGATGACTTCCTAATATTGCCATGGCGTTTGTAAACTGTCATGATGCTGGTGAGAATGTCTTTTAGCAAGCTAATGTATTCTAATTAGCGTATGATGGGCAGTAAAGATCATCAGAGGTCATTCTCATTGCTATCTTGGTTTTGGTGGGATTCAGTGGGCTTCTTTACTGCAAACTATTGTGTCAGCAGGGTCTTTGTGATCTGTATCTTGTGCCAACCTCCCATCTCACCCTGTGACGTAGAATACCCAGCCTCCTGTGAATGCAGCCCAGTAGGTCTCAGCCTTATTTTACTCAATCCCTGTTCAAGATGGGGTTGCTCTGCTTCGAACGCCTTTGACAAGTATTGTTTCACTCAGAATGGCTCAAAACATAAATTTTATATCCTCACATCCAATTCTTCCCCTTGCTCCTGGATAATAACTCAGGCAAAATCCATGACTTTTCTGGTCTCTCTGTTGTAAAGCAAGTCCTTTATCAGTAATTAAAATATCTAGTTCCATTTTATAACCAAATCTTTAAACACAGCTTATAATCAATATTTTCATCCTTCTCCAGCTCGGGACTGCTGCCAGCAGAGAAGAAAAGGGAGGTGGTCACCGTCACGTTCTTTACTCTCATCATGTCCACTTCCATTCTTCCCCTCCCTGAATTACTGATGGAGGGAAAGAGAGAAGGAGAGCTCTCACTTGACCAGTATTGCTATGATCCAGCCTCTGCCCTCTGGCCCTACCAGGTGTTTAAACCTGACTCTGTCTTTTTTGCTGTGGGTTCTTTGGGGATCCCCCTCCCTTGAGAGAGAGAGTGAGAGAGAGAGAGAGAGAGAAAGAGAGAGAGAGTGAGATGAAAGAGAGAGACAGGAAACAAGTGGGCAAGTCACTCTGGACCTAGGAAATAGACCAGTATCAAGCCCAAGTCAACAAGTGAGTATTTTCATGTTTCCGCACAGTTAGGACTTTCTGAGCAAGTTTTTCTGGAGTCCAGATTAAAGAACAAGGCTTAGAAGTTAAATTATGACTATGACTGAATAGGTAATGAGATAACTCTAGAGAGATTTGTCTCCCCAGAGGTCTGTGTTTACACTTCAGAGCAGCAGGGTGGGAGGGGGTAAAACCTGCAACCAAGAAAACATCCCAAGAGTTGTAAACCAGGAGAAACTTCTCTTTTCTTCCCACGAGACACTTATTTGCATTCCAAAAGGTAAGAAGCCCAGACTTTTCCCTTTTCTTCCCCAGGAAAATTGGTGTACACTAGAAAGCAAAGGTTTCTCTCCCTTTCTCAGAAGGGGAAAAGAGAAAGCTGACCCTCTCACATATAAGCTCTCAGATTCATAATTTTGAGGGGGCGCTTTCTCTCCTGCAGTATAGAACCTAGTACATATAAGATGACATCTGGCTTTCATCATATCACTCTAGGGGGTTGGGGCAAGGGAATGGATAGTTTTTGACATGAATTATAATAACTTTGATCCAGAAACTTTATATTTGCATTCAGGATAACATAAATAAATACAGGTCTTAAAAACGTATCAGCCATTGAAAGAGGACTGTGTATGGTTCTGTCAGAGGTTTGTGAACCAGAGCAACTCCATCTTAAATAGGAACTGGGTAAAATGAGGCTGAAACCTACTGGCCTGCATTCCCAGATGGTTCAGGCATGTAAGTCACAGGATGAGACAGGAGGTCAGCAGAAGATACAGGTCATTAAGACCTTGCTGATAAAACAGGTTGCAGTAAAGAAGCCAGCCAAAAACCACCAAAACCAAAATGACCACAAGAGTGACCTCTGGTTGTCGTCCTCACTGCTACACTCCTACCAGTGTCATGACAGTTTACAAATGCCACAGCAACATCAGGAAGTTATCCTACATGATTTAAAAAGGGGAGGCATGAATAATCCACCCCTTGTTTAGCACATAATCAAGAAATAACCAGAAAAATGGGCAACCAGCAGCCCTTGGGCCTGCTCTGCCTATGGAGTAGCCATTCTTTTATTCCTCTACTTTCTTAATAAACTTGACTTCACTTTACTCTATGGACTCACCCTGAATTCTTTCTTGCATGAGACCCAAGAACCCTCTCTTGGGGTTTTGATCGGGACCCCTTTCCAGTAACAGTTCTTCACTGGAACATATGTGATTCTTATGCTAAAAAGGTTAATGTAATACTGAAACTGCCCTTACAATGACTATGACAGCAAGAGAAATTTAGCATGGCTGACTCTATCTTGCTTCCAGACTTACGGGCTAGCTGTACTCACTCACTCCTGGGCATAGGTGAGGCTAACCATGTGACGAATTTAGTTTACAGCTTAACTATGAAACAAGGATGATAATAGTCCCCTCTAAAACTGATTCCCTCCTTGTTGGGGGGCTGAAACTGCCTTTATAAGACTAATGAAAGGCCACAAGATTAGAATTTTGGGAAGGGCCTACATTCTGCTAAAGTATAGACATAGTTTCTATAATCCCTTACTGCTCAGGAGTCATGTGGCCAGAGGTCAGAAGGTTTGTCACTTCCCCATTTGCTCCTATAGATAACATCACTATTACAGAGCCTAAGATTGGTCTTTTGAGATATTTCTCAGACTTTTGCATTCTGCAAACCAAATGACCCCACTCAGACCCATGAATTATTACTCAGCTGGTCTTGTGGTCCCCAATCAGAGGCAGAATCAGCACATGAGGACTGTTTCCACACCCCTATGACTTTGTCCCCAACCAATCAGCAGCACCAATTCCCTAGGCCCTTGCCCATGAAATTTTCCATAAAAATCCTAGCCTCTGAGTTCTCTCAGAGAGAGACTGATTTGAGTGATAACTGCAGTCCTTCACTCAGCTGCCTTGCATTATGTAAACTCTTTCTTTACTGCAATACCCTGGTCTCAGTGAATTGGTTTTGCCTGTGCAGTGAACAGGAAGAACCCATTGGGCGATTACAGTAATAGACTGATATACATTGAGTGTGCTGTGCAGGCATATTAAAAGAAATAAGTATATCTCAATACTCAGCCATAATCTAACACAATCATTTCTGAGAATACATTTTAATAAGAAAACTGAGAAACTAGAGTGTTTCTACTCCAGAGGAGTTAGCCAGATAAGGGATGGGCTTGGAGACCATGTCAAGTGAGCAAAAATGGAAGGATCTGGGTTTATTCTGAAGAATTATCACATGCATAAGAGAAAAAATTCATTTTCTTTTGATTGCTTGGAACAAATTGCTCATACTTATGGAGAGACAGATTTTGGCTTCATATAAAGAAGAATTTTTCCAACAAAGATGTTCAGCAATGCAATGAGCTGCTCTAACAAGTAGAGAGCTCTCTTTTGTCATTGGATGTGTTTAGGTGGCAGCTGGGATGGCCATCTGTTGGACAGGTTGCAGAGGAGGTCTGGGTTCTATGTTGGAGGTTGGTCTAATTGAACTTTTAGGACTCTGGCAACTCTATGTCTCCACAAAGTTTAATTGATATTTGTCTGAACATTTTCATTTTTGGTCATTGTCCTATGGAGCTCTGTTTCTTGGCAGTCTGCTATATTCTCAGAGTTGTTTTAACTTCCAGAGTTCAAGTCAAGGCTCTATGATTTACTTTGTGATTTTTGGTAAATTACTTAATCCCATCTGTAACCTTGTGAAACCAATACTTCCTACTTTTAGGCTTATTATGGAGATTAAATGAAATGGTACTTGTAAAACATGAATTGTGTAAAGCAGCACTCACTAGAACCCAGTAATACACAATGGTTATGATTAGTTTATTAGTCTCTTAGCTTCTTGTCTGTCTCCATCCTTCTTTCACTTGGCTACCTACTCACCCTTCACATCTCACTTAGTTTTCATTTATATGCCTCTTATGTCCAGTGAGTTTGAGTCTCTTCTTATGGTAAAGAACCATTTGGCAAATTATATTTTCATACTTGTGCCTACTGTTAAATTATTTTTCTAATTTGTTCTACTATTTGTTAGTCATTTTACTGTCAATTTATAGGATCTCTTTCTATATTAGGTTTATGATATTAGTTGTAAATATTTTCCTGGTTTATTCTTTGTCTTTTGATCATAGACCTTTTGACGTGAAGCAGATTTGTTGTTCTAATTTTATTATTGATTTTATTTTTTTTTACATAGGGTCACACTCTATTGCCCAGGCTGAAGCGCAGTGGCACAATCCTGGCTCACTGTAGCCTCAACCTCCCCAGGGTCAGGTGATCCTCCAACCTCAGCCTCCCAAGAAGCTGCACACAGCTCTTAGATTGGTACAAAAGTAATTGCGATTTTTGCCATTAAAATAGCAAAACAGCAATTACTTTTGCACCAACCTAATTAATTTTTGTATTTAATGTAGGGATGGAATCTCTCTATGTTGCCCAGGCTTGTCTCGGGGCTCAAGCAATCTACCTGTCTCGGCCTCCCAAAATGCTGATATTACACGTCTAAGACACCATGCCCAGTCTCTTGTTTTTAATATAGCAGTGTTTATCAAGTCTTTCATTCATACAGAGGCCGTGAATCTCTATCTCTATTTCTTACTAACACCAAAAAGTGATTAAAAGGTATAATTCCTTGTGCTATCATTATGAAATGAAAATGTCTGATGTCATTGTAGACACACAAACTGCTACATCATCAAGATGCTTCAGCACTCTGCTTTTAAAAGGGACCCTTTCTTAATACAATTTTCCAGTGTCTCTGCTACTAAAGAATAGCTTCTCATAACATCTGATCATTTACACAGCTTGAATTTCTGTTGTAGCCAAGGTACTACAGAGGCTCCACTACAAGGCTCCAGACAGGCTGGAACTATTGTAACCATTATCTTTACCTGACAAGTAATCAAGTTGCCAGTCAAACCATACACCTGTGGAATAGGGAAATTGAGTCCCTGCTGCTTACATAAAAGACCCTGAATTAGCTGGCAGTAACATTGACATTTTAGATCCATCTCTGGCCTAGTCAGTACAGGGAAGCAACTGTGTTATACTGGAGAGAATACTGGGCTTGGTGTCAGAAGGCTTGATTCATTCACTTCAGTGCAGCACGATTCAATTCAATTCACATTTCCTGATCTCCTATTAAGAACAAGATAGTCTGCTCGGGTTATGGGTACAAAGAAGCTGTTTCACCCCTTAAAGAGCTCACAGTCTAGTGGGAGAAGCAGGATCATCGGTGACTACATCCAAATACACAGACTCTGTCTTAAAAATACAAAGAAGAAACCTAAAAAAAAGGAACTTCAATTTCTCTCTGTTAAGTTTCTCTTACATATTATGTGCACACACCCAACTATATCCCAGACATTGCTGTTATATTACTTTCAGCCCCTTATATCACAAACCAAACTTACTATTGGTCCCCTGTCCCTATCCAGTCCCTCCGCCACACCAAGATGGCTTCCTGATTATGCCATCTCAGGGTCTTCGGTCTCTGAAACTCAAAACCTTGATGTTTATCTGGATTCCTTCCCCTCCACTCACAGAGGCCCTTCCCTCACTAAGCCCTGTCCATTCTTCCTTTGTAATATTTCACACATTTCCTTCAGACCTTTATCATGTTATTAAAACAATCTTCTGACTCTTGTCCTAGATCACATTGTTTTCTGCACCAGTCACCATTCACCATTCCATCCTTCTACTACCCAGATCTATTTCCCGCAAACTAATTTCATCATGTGATTTTCCAGCTTTAAAAGGTCAATAATTCTCCATTACATATTGGATAAAATTCAAGCTCTGAAATCTAATATTTGGTGGGTCCTTTAGTCATCTGACTTCACTTTTTATTTCCAGTCTTGTCATTATCTATGCCATTCTTCTTGTCCCTGGCCCCATCAGATGGCTGTATTTATTATTGAGAAAAACATTCTTCCCCATCAATTTTCCCATCCTGTTATCTCCTCTCCTCCCTTTCTTCCATCCCCACATCTCTTGCTTCTTCTTAAGCATCCAAGTTCTAGTCATTTCAAGGTCCAACTCCAAGTCTTATCTACTCCATAAACTGAGAAGTAGCTCAGTTTTATGCTGAGGTCTTCATATCAGACCTTCCTCTGAAGGTCTTCAGAGCGTTTTTTTCTTTTCTGAATTCCTAAGATATTTATTCTGTGGCCTTAACTGGTACTTAAACATATATGTGTCAGATTGCCAGGGCGGCTTAACCAACAGAAATGTATTGTTTCACAATACGTTTGTTTCACAATACATT